ACCTAATGGGGTCTAACTCTATGGAGTAGGCTTGTGACCTAGGAGAACCATGATTTCTATGGAGCAGGGCTTGGGACCCAAGAGAATCATGGCTTCTATGGAGCAGGGCTTGTGATGTAAGAGAACCATGATTTCTATGGTGTAGGACTTGGGATTATTATTCTGCATTGCTGTATAATGTATTGCTGGGATTTGTAGTCCTCTCTAACTGATGGTATTACTTTGCATTGCCGTATTGCTGGGATTTGTATTCCTCTATAGCTGATGGTATTATTCTGCATTGCTGTATAATGTATTGCTGTGATTTGTAGTCCTCTATAGCTGGTGGTATTCTAGATTGCTGTATAATGTATTGCTGTGATTTGTATTCCTCTATAGCTGGTGGTATTCTGCATTGCTGTATAATGTATTGCTGTGATTTGTAGTCCTCTATAGCTGGTGGTATTCTAGATTGCTGTATAATGTATTGCTGTGATTTGTATTCCTCTATAGCTGGTGGTATTCTAGATTGCTGTATAATGTATTGCTGGGATTTGTATTCCTCTATAGCTGGTGGTATTCTAGATTGCTGTATAATGTATTGCTGGGATTTGTATTCCTCCATAGCTGGTGGTATTCTAGATTGCTGTATAATGTATTGCTGGGATTTGTAGTACCTCTACAACTTGGAGTCAGTGGCAGAAACACCAGGGGCGCAGCATTTGCAGCTGCGACCAGGCCCTGGCACTCCACCGCTGTCCTAAAATCATTAGTCTGTATTGTTTTGGAAAAACTGTCACATGACACTGAATAAAAAAATTATCTGTAATTGGTATTGGCAAGCACTTGAGGAAAAGTATCGGAACTCGTACTCTGGTCTCGGTGCATCCATAATAACAAGATAATAAAACTCAGAATAGTTGTAAATGGTGCTCACAGTAGTCAGACAATATCAAGCACTCATTATTTTCCCCTTGTGTTAACGAGAGTGACTAATATCAATAAAAGAAAACCGAAATCTCAGAAGGAATTATAAACCAATAACAATTCTAGAAAAAATATCTCTGACACCCAGGAGAGTGTGTGCGGTTCCGGGAACACTGCCAGGGTTCACTGTTCACATATAGCAGAGCAGTGTTAAGTAAACAGGGGCCGAGCCTAGTTTTGTTTTGGAATGGCTAGGGGGGGAGGGGGGCATTTTCTAAATTCCACAGCTGGACACTTGAGAGACCTGCTGCCTTCAAAACAAAATGATGACTTTAGTGCCAAAAGACTGGAGCAGAACTATGGATCATGGGGCACAGCAGCAGAATTGTGATGGGGAGGGGACCCTGGGGACCTCCTTATTGTCATTGATCTTATGTCTAAATTCAGGTGAAGGAACAATGGCCAGGAGTATGCAGATTCTGACTTTTGGAAAAGTCGACGCCTGGATCGAGAGGGTTTGCTAACGGACGATATTCCCACAAGGCCACCGAGGCCCGGCCACGGGGTGGCAGGGAGTGGAGGGGTGACAGGGGTGTGGAATTCCTATCACCCGATGCCCAGGACATGCAGCTACGCCGAGACCACTTGTGTCACTTTTTGTAGCCTGCTCATCCGTCCTTCCCTGCCGCCCCCACCTCCATGGTCCACCCCTAGCTCCATGGTCCGCCCCCACCTCCGGCTGCCTCTCCTTGTTGGCTGCCTCCCTCCCCGCCATGGTTTTCGGGGTCCCCCGCTGCTCTGGGGGACCCGGGACCACGGCAAAGTAGTTCAGCATGAAAGCGGGGAGCAGAGTGCAGAACGTCGGTTCTGCGCTCTGCTCCGTGTGAACACAGAGACGGGAGAGCTGCAATCGCAGCCTTCCCCTCTCAGCTGTCACAGGAGAGCCAGCACAGTGCTGTGCTAGAACTCCTGTATTGGAGGTGACAGGTTCCATAAAGAGAACCTGTCACCTCCAAATGCTATCACACAGGGGCTTGTTAGCTCCTGTGTGATAGCAATAGAGTTAAGTAACAAAAAATAATAATACAAAATAATAATAAAATTGATCAAAATAAAACATAATAAAATAAACATTTAAAAAAGTAAAAGATAATAAGAAATAATAATTAAAATAATAAAAAATTAAAGTGAT